TCCATCATTTAACTGACAGGATTCTTCACACCTAGCTAGAAACTGCCACCAGTAAAGAGAACTCCCCTGGAATAGTCAACCAGGTGGGAACACAAAGCCTCGGAGGATGTAGTTAAAAAACGCAAGCAGCCTGTAAGAGATGATCAACCCTGGGTGTTGGGGATTGAGACTGAAGGTCACTTTGTTGTCCCTTGCCATGTACTTAAGACCATATCAGATTAATCACTGGAACCTTTAAGAGCTGTTCTATGTGTTATGTGGTGTTGAGGAGCTGAATGGAGAGCTGTATTCAGCTGAGCTGCTTTGATTGAATCCTTAATCTTGGGTCCTTAAGCTTTTTAAACAGGGGGCCGGTTCACTGTCCCTCAGATCGTTGGAGGGCTGGACTATAGTTTAAAAGGACAGGCAGTGGCTAAGCAGGACAGGCAGTGGAGGCAAAAACACGCAGCAGGCCAGATAAATGTCCTGGGTGGGCTGCATGTGGCCCGGAGGCTATAGTTTGACACCTGCCCTACTCGCTCCTGAAGACTCAGGAAAGCTGCAGGCCTTGCCAAAAGTTGCAGGACTTAGAAGTAAATGGAAGGGAACAGGAAGCAGTGAATGGAGACTCCTGGGTCCCCGGCCAGTGTAGCCCCACTGGGGACAAGGAACACATCTGGGAATCCCAGGCTTCATGAGTGGAGGGTGTGTGTCCAATGCGGGGCACATGGAGTTTGAGATGCCTCAAACCAGTGCGTGACGCCCACATGAGGACAGTGACAACCTAGGGAAAACTGGCATTAGCAGAGAAACCAAGGCGAGAGCTGGGTCAGCAGGAATGGCCCAGGGCTAGGTAGGGACACCACAGCCAGGGCAGGTAACATGGAACTGCACAAAGCGCCAGCATGCAAGAAGTGGGTGGGGAAGGAGACCCTGCAGGTGAAACTAGGCACAGGAGTGAGAGGATGAGGATCAGGACATCTGGGGGCCGGAGACATAGGCTTAAGGTGGAGCCAGGGGGCAAGTGCAGGTCAATGAGGACAAATGGATCAGAAGGGTAATAAAGGCAGGAACGGAAAACGTCCATCAGACGGAGAAATAGCAGGAGCAGATTCAGCGCAAAAGTGGGGTTAAAAACTAGACGGCACCAGCAGGACCAGGCGTGAGGAAAACTGAAATCCACAGGAGGGGCGGGGGCAGGGGGAGGCTCAGTAAGCTCCCACCTCACGGGCAGTGTCGGGCAGAAGGCACACCCCGGGGTAAAGGACTCAAATGCAATGTGGACCTTTCCTAACAGATGCAAACACTGTTGCCTAATTGCGTGTACCCGCCTATTACTCCATAACAAAAAATGTGGCAAAAAATAAGATAAAAAAATTTAGATTGCAGGTGCCTGAGAAACAAGAGAAGGAGGAAGATAAGATGGCGGTGGGAGGAAAGCAGATCTAGGAAAGAGTCATGTCAGGACTGGAAGCCACCTGAGCACATCAGACAGTGGGGATCGCAGGGCAGGAAGGGAGAGATGACCGTTCAAGGGCTTTCACACGTTCACGGTGCCGTGTAGGAAGTGCCAGGGACCGCCACGGGTGCCAGGGCCACAAGCAGACCCGTAGTCTCTGAGCTCGGTGAGATTTCACTTCAGTGGCGGGTGTGAGACTTGGGAAGAGGCAGGTCTGCCCTGTACAGGGAAGGATAATGCGACTTGAGGACCCGGGGGCAGGGGAAGATAAGAAGCCTGGGGGCACGGACAGGCGTGCTTACATTGACGGCACTGCATGGCTTATAAGGAAGGGGTTTACACCAGACTTTGCAACGCAGCTTAAAGGAGAGAGGTTGTTGAAAATCGTACTTAAGAGAGTGGAGGCAGGACTGACCACAGAGGATATCCCCTAGCTAACCAGGCCACGCATGCAGGCAGCAGGTGAGCTGGGAGACCCGGGTTCCACAAAGTTCTGTCTGCCAGCTCACCCACAGAGGCTCCAGGCAATGTAATCTCAACCAAGGCCGCGTCGAGGTTGGGCTTTTGCTGTCCTTGCTCTTGGTTGTGGGAATAAACACATATTATCTCGTGGGAGTTTGCAATCCCATACCAATTTCTAATGGGCAAAGAATGCTGTTTTTTGGAAGAACCGGGAAAGTAAAGAGACATAAGTATTTTACACAGTGGGTGACAACCAACCACCAGGGGGAAAGGCAGGTCGTGGGGGAAGCAGAGGTTGAAAGGATTTGGGTCTGAGGAGGAAGGAGGAAGGAGGAGGGGGAGGGAGGGGGAGGAGGAGGAAAGGAGGAAAGGAGGAAGTTTGGGGAGAGGCGAAAAGAGAAGATAATTTGTTCTCTTGACAATGAAACTCAAACCAGAGAGAAACCCATAACCAGGCGGGTAGTTTATAAAGAGCAATTTGCCTGCTCTCCTAAGAACGGTTATTAAAGAAAGAGCAGAAACACTAACACCACGTAGGAGACGATTTTAACAGGAAAGAGATGATATGGCCTGAGTTGGGCAGATCCCACATAGAATCTAAAATCAGAGACAAAGGGACTTTCTGAAGAATTGGATTTCTGGAGAGAAAGAATGGAGAATGACCTCTGGAGTTTGGCTTGAGTGAAAGGGAGGATGTGGGAGCCGTTTACTGAGACAGAGAGGCTGGGGGAGCAATAGGTGTGAGGGGACGTCCAGAGCTGGACATGACATGTTTGAAACACCTGCCAGCCACCCAAGTGGGGTGCTGAACAGAACTCTGGAGTGCAGGGAGTGGTCAGGGTGGAGTCACTAGCACACAGATGGTCATTAAAGGCCTGCAACTTGGTGAGAGCTCAGGGGCGAGACTGGCCTCCCAACCTTCCCTCCCCCAGGCCAACTTCTCTGCACACACAAGGCCCTTTTCAACTGGGCAGACATGCAGCTCAGCACGTGATGATACCTTGTGTTGTGAGCCCTCAGCTCACACACCCCAGGGCCTCATGAGCAGTGACGTGCCTCTCTGTGTCAGCTCTCTCTGCCTCCACTGCTGTCTGGGTTCCATGTGCAACCGTGGATCTTTGTGCAATTACTGTACATATTTCTCTCCCAAATGCAAAGTTAGGCACTTGAAAGGCAGAAATAAAAAATACGCGTAGGGCTGGGAATAATGTGTACGTGTACGTGTATATGATTGTGTGTATACATGTATATGTCTGAGGTTGGACATTAAGTCCATGAAGTTGTCCTAGAGAAAATGCTACGTAACTCATCTCCAAATATCAGTACAGTCCCCAGATGGCCAAGGGGAGCACCCAGAAGGTGCCTGCAGAGAGATTCAGCAATGAGGCATGTAGCACTTTTTCTTTTTGCTGTTGTTGTTGTTTTTAACTGTTCAAATTTTTATTTTAATGCACGCCCTGAGAAATTAACTTTGTAATAAGCTGAATCATATGGAAAGTGACACAGCAAATAAGTGAGACCCATGTTTAAAGAGAAGGTCAGCTAACTGTCCAAACTTAAGGAAATAATGGGCATATAGATAAACACAGATTCCACAGTCGTCTTTAAGAGGCTGAAGTTTTCCAAATACAAGTTTGCTATGAACTGGTCCAAAGATTAACAGTATGCTGAACGGGGGTAGTGATCACAGGGAACGCAATGGAGATATGTCGGTACTGGGTGTAACAGAAACCTTGCAAGTGAAGCCACAAGTTCTTTTGAGTGTAGCACTTTTTCTGTTTTTGTTTCGCAGTTTTTGGCGGGGGCTGGGTTTGAACCCACCACCTCCGGTATATGGGGCTGGCACCCTACTCCTAAAAAGTGCTACCAGCACTTTTTCTAAGATGAGTTTCTCAACTTAATTGTCTAACCTTTGTGTACACATGCGTTCATGTGTACATGTATGTGTAGGTATACACACACATGTGTACACAATACTTATATTTTATAGACAATTATGGGACATAGGCACATACAGTATTCTCGGCATGGAGAACAGTACTGTCGTCATTCACAGGCGTACACTTTCAATGGGTTGAATAGATGGATGACTGTTTAAAAAATGAACAAAGTTACTAAATACATAGAAATATTTCTAAGAGAATTTTTAGGGAAAGTTATATTGTACCCAGACTCCCATAAAAATAGTCCATTTTAAATCCATTTAATCTACGGAGATTCTTTTTCTCAAACAGGAACTGCTAATTCTAGAACTTTTTTCAAAGCACATTTCAGACAAAGTTGCTCATTTGGATCCTGGGTTGGGAGATAATGAGGAGTAGTCACTGCCCCTCACTCTGCAGAGAAGCCCCGCCTTCCCTGAATTCAAACACAGCTTTAACACGTCCTTCCCTCCTGAATGAGGCTGACTGCCCTGATCCGAGGCAGACACATTGACAGGCTCTGTAAGCCCAGGAATCAACATTCCCAGAGCCCCAGAGATGGGGGCTTTCTCCCTAATATTCTCTTTTAACCTGCCCCAGTTCCCCAAAACCGTGTCAGGTGCCTCTGCAAGGTGGGTCTAAGCAATGTCCAGAAACATCCAGTAACTTATTGAACAAAGCCAGAAACATCCAGTAACTTATTTACTGACTCAGATACGAGTGTCACCTAAGACTTTCCTCATGGCAAACATACTACAGAAGGGAGAAAAGAAAAACTGATATAAGAATGATGGAGTGCAGAATTATTCAGAGTGCTGGAGAATTCCAAGGAAAATGGGCGTGCCACGCTCTTAGAAGGGTTTATGTGTATTATCTTTACAAACAAGGATGCGTGTGTGTAAATGACAAATATAAAAATGGCAGATCTGTTGGAATGAGATGTGAGAAGTTTGCTTGTTGAATTTCCATTGCAAAGCCAAGTATCTATAATCGATAAAAATCACAGGCAGAAGGCAAAGGTCAAACTACCTTGTACATCATAGTTCTAATAGTATAGTAACATGCTTGTATGAGCAAGAAGATTAACCATGTAAATAATTCAGAATCAAAACCTGCCTCTCCCTGCCCGGTGCCCAGTGAGCCCTACGGTCAGCCTGGGAAACAACGATGTCACTTACTGTTGTCCGCCGCACGCGTGGATGTGAAATGGAGGGACACCTTTGCACTCTTGAGGCGCGTCTGGCCCCAGTACGCGATGGCCTGAAGCTCCACGAAGTAGTCACAGTCGGGCTGAAGTTTCTCCAGAATCACAGAGTTTTGAAACTGGAAAGGAAGAGAAGACGCCGAAATTCCGTCACCAACCTTCCACGCTTGCTTCTTCATCACACACCTCATCTGTCCTTACACAGCGTGCCAACCTCTGGCTTATGTATATCTTTAATTTTCTAAAATCTGTCACTTTTCTGCTTCTTTAAGATCTGAGCAGCCAGTACTACTACGGGCTAAAATAACCTTCGTGCAAAGGCTACATGGATTTTCAAAATAATGTTCCTAATCCAATTGCTGGGCAGAGAGCAGAGCAATGAACCTCACTGCCCACCGTGACATGCCACCTCGCAGAGAAAAGGGAGCTCTCCATAATAAATTAACAGGCATTAATGTTGCTGCATAGCTGGAAAAACTGTGACTCAGCAGGGATTGCCCTTCTTTGATATGTAATCTAAATCTGCCATGAGCAAATTGCCACCCAACGCTATAGGAAAATCAGCCTGGCAAAGAACTTCAATTTTCCTGCCACCACGTCTCACGCAGGGGTCCGGGCCAGGCAGCTGTCAGCATCTCCTCACGTCACTCTGAGCCCTGTGACTCCCCCGTTTCAGCTCTTTTAGCTCACGAGGTAAGCATGCACTCGTGTTATGACTTGTAGCAAAATCCTTCAACGTAAAAGATGGGACTGTCAGAAGAGTTTTTAAAAATAGAATGAAAATCGTGCAATAGCTAGATATCAGGGATGTGGGCTTTTGGAAACGTTTTATTACTCACTATGTAATATCTAGGGAAAACGGCACTGATATTGGAATCCTTAAGCAAGAGGAATAAAAAATAGCCTTGCCATGTCTGCATCTCTTAAACATTTGTCTGTGGGATTATATTTTGTAGCTTAAGGTGAAATGTGGGTAAGTGAATTTTATTATGACAAAATAAAGGAACATGCACTAAAAGGAAAGTGAATAATAACTCTTCTTCACGCACCAGACATTTCAAATGATGCAACATACTTGGCATCACGGAAATCTAATTATAGAAAATGGTTCAGGGAAGACTTTATTTCTTGGCATCTGAAAAATAAACCACTCCAGATTCTTTTAATCACCACACTGTGAAACACGCTGTTTCCAAACTGTTTACTGCCCACTGATTGGATTACAGATGGAAACACCTTTCAACAGAAAAGTCATGGATATTTGCTCTTCCATTTACAAGGATCTTGCCCAATAAAAAGAGACCAAAAGGTAAAGCACATTCGGCCTCATACGAGGTGTCCATAAAGTTCGTGTGCAAATGACTATGTTAAACTACTATAAATTGTGCATAAACTTTATATATATATATATATAGATAGATAGATAGATAGATAGATAGATATAAATTTTCTAGGGCTCAACGGGTAGGATGGGAATAATTTAAAGCGTTCTTTTGATTTCTGGAGTTGTGGCTGCCATTTAGATTAAAGGAGGTCAAGAGACCAAAACCAATTATTTTTGCCTCAAATGTAAAAGGCAAAACAGTTGGCCCGCTCCTGCCAAGTTCTTGGTCAGAAGGAACAAGGTTCACTCGTATGTGTGTGCGTGCATGCCTTCCTCTGTCAGCTCAGCAGAGCCGGGAGCTCAAAAGCCCTGCAGGGCGGCCCCTGCCTTCTCCCATCCACTTACCCCATCTGCCGTCTTTCTCCTCCTCTTCTTGGTTGGAACCAGAGACTTACTGCTGACCGTCCAGCTCCAGAACACTTTGTAGTGATGCACAGGGATATCTGGTTCCTCGGGGACATCCCAAACAATAGTAACTGTCACGGTCCCATCGCTGTTGATGGTGGAGTTTGCAAGCCGCAGGTTAGTGGGCGCAGGGGGGGCAGATGGGTCTGAAACCCAGAAGACAGAGAGACCATGTGACCTGGCTACCCAGGACAATAACAAAACCACATCTCTGTACATGGAAACACCATGTGCTCACGCAGCAAGCCTTTGTTTCTATCTGTGGAAATGTGGAAAATAATCGCCTAGTAAGGTCCTTTGGTTATGCCTCAAATTAAAATGCAGTCTGCAAAACGGTCGGATAAATTAGTTTGGTCCAAACTTGTAATCCAGAAGGATCCTCTCAGCATTTCCATGCCAGTGCAACCCAGCCAGGTTTCTACTTCACCAAAATCGATTCATTGATGCAAAATATAGTAAAATCCAATGCAGGTGGATTGGCATTAAATCAACAAGCAAAGTCAAATCGGCCTTGAAACTCTGAAGAGGAGAAGCAAGAAATGGACCAGTCTGAGTAATTCTTTTCAGCTTAACGACCCTGTCACTGTTCACGCTGCCTCAGCTAAGAGCAACAAATAGAGATGTGGTAAAGGAAAAAATCTGTACCATATTTTATCCACATCACACACTGCATGACTTATGGGTAATACCTGTCTTTGTAATTTTAACATTTCTGGTTTGTCTCAGAAGCCAAAACCTTCCCAGCTGTCCAGAGAGAAATTAGGTGCTGGAATTACCACCCCACAAATCTCCATTTAAAACACACCCATGAAGACGAGTGAATGTGGCCAGAGGTAGGGGGTCTTCGTCCCCCCACAGCCTGAGCAGATGGAGCTGCCGCTCGCTTGCCAGGAATAACTTGCAGGTGGTTTCAATTTTGAGATGCCTTCACAGGCTGCCAAATGCTGCCACAAATTCCAGTTCTAACACCCTCTGCACTGGAGGTGCCAAAAAGTTACATCTTACCTGGTACAAATGGAGACTGGGGGGAAAAACAATTGTGTTTCAACTGTCAGCATCACTCATGGTTTTGGAATGATGGAAATATCCTCTTTTTTTTTTTTTAAATTTGGGGTTTTTTCTATGATCTATAATGCCTGGGGGCTTAGTTAGGTTGGTGCCTTCATTTTCTTTCTTTTTTTTTTTTTTTTATTAAATGATAGCTCTATACATTAATGCAAACAGGGGGTACAGTGTAGTGTTTTCATATACATTTTGAAATACTTTCATCAAGCTGGTTCACATAAATTTCATGTAATTTGCATAGTCATTGTGTCAAAACATTTACATTCTATTTCTAGAAAAGTTCACTTGTACCCGTGTTAGACAGAAATATAGGTGATCTTTCCGGTTAACCTCCCACCACCCAGCCACCCTTCTTCCCTCCCCTTCCCCACCCCCTCCCCATATTCTTGGACTAGAATTAAGTTGTTTCCTTCATTTGAGAAGTATATATTAGTTTCATAGAAGGGCTGTGTACATTGGATACTTTTTCACGAAGGCTTTGTGTTGGTTTTTTAGGTGAGGGGCTGAGGGGAAGCACACTTCATAGCAGGTGACCCTGTCGCCTGGGTGGTTCTCCTTCAGTCAAGATCAGCACTGTTTGGCACTGGCTGAGATTTACACGGGCTATGCTGGTTCTGTGAGCGCAGCTGGAGTCCAGAAATGTGTCTACATTATGTCAAACACAGAAATGGTTCTCAAGGAAATGACTGTCAGGTCAGAAGGTGACAAGTAAGAGATAAGGAGGCAGCAGAACACGGCTTTGTTGTGTGTGAGGAGGACGCACCTGCCGCTCTCTCTGGGATGGGGGCTCAGACTTCCTCGCTATGGAGCAGCCCCATTGGGGAGTCCTCCTCTGCCCACCAATATCAGCTACCCAAAATCATCAACACCACGGGTCACTTCCACGCATCTCTTTAACACACAGAGCCTTCCTGTGCCTTCAGGACACCTGTCTGTAGGAGTCTCCTTGGTCTTACCAGAGGCCACCTCCCAGCCCCACGCCCCCCAGTTCCTACAAATCCCATGTCTCTACTCAGGAGAGCAGCCGCATCTGACCCCAAACTTCTCCTCTCCCGCCAGACTCTCCCACTGCAGGGACCTCTAACTCCACAAGGATCAGCTCCTCTTAAAAAAAAAAAAAAATTCCAACATTTAAGAAGACGAACCATACTAGGCATCTCATGATTTTCCTTAATTTCATTCCTGACACCCTTATTTATCCCCCCTGGAAAATCTTCTTTATATCTTAGATGTGAGCATAGTATTCCAGAATATCATCTACTCATGAGATGTTATAAAACATGAAACATCATAAACTATGAAAACAACGTATGAGGAAGTAATGCTACTCAAAACAGGAGTTAATAATATTTGCTTTATATGTTCTCAAACTAAGGCCCATTTTAAGTCTCTACAATAGCAAGTGGTGTACTTCCACGATTAAGACGAGATCCTCCCAGGCTGGGCACAGTGCACCAGAGCCCACTATAATCCCAGCACTCTTGGAACCTGAGGCCGGGGGATTGCTTGAGGTCAGGGGATTGAGATCCGCCTGAACAACAGTGAGATTCTTTCTCTACTTAAAATAGAAAAACTAGCCAGGCATGGTGCCAGGTGTCTGTACTCCAACCTACTAGAAAGGCTGAGACAGGAGGATGGCTTGAGACCAGGAATTTGAGGTTGCTGTGCATGACACTGATACCACAGCCCCCTAACCTGGGTGACAGAGTGAGGCTACATGGGGAGAAAAATTTTTTTCACTATTAAATTTAAAAACCCAAAGGGAATTGTGGAGAGCCCCTGTTTCTTGCCCCATTCTCCTCTGTAAACCAGCGTCCCTCACCCACTTATTCACCGCAGGTTCAGCTGAGAGGGAACAGTTTGCTTTCTCTAATCAGAAGCACTTCATGGCCTCCTAACACTTCTCCATGCTGAAGCCATTCTCTGCCTTAAGAAATGGTTCTGTAGTCCCAGCCACTCAGGAGGCCGAGGCCAGAGAATCGCCTAAGCCCAAGAGCTGGAGGTTGCTGTGAGCTATGATGCCACAGCACTCTACAGAGGGCGATAAAATGAGACTCTGTCTTTAAAAAAAAATGATTCCATACACCATGAAATAAGGCATATGCACTTGGCTGAATTACACGACATTATTTTCTTTCAACGTACATGATGTTTTAATTGTATTAGAATTTTCAAATGTAGTTGGATGCCTGCATGTGAATGTCATATAACACACACACAGAGACATATATAGGCAGAGAGACAGAAAGAGAAAGACAGACATATATTATGATAAAGCTTTAAGAGATTCTACAAGTTATTTCACTTTTTCTTCTTTTTTATTGGTGAGAATCTTAGGGCCCAGGGAGGTGAAGTAATATGGCTGGGGTCATTCATGTAATTGGTACTAGACGACAGAGTGGTAACAAAAACGAGAAGAAAAAGTCAGAGGCTCTAGCAATGCACACAAGAAGTGCTACACTGTATCTATGTTGCAGTCTGTCACACTAGTGAGGCCAGCATCCCTATGGAAAGTAAAAATGCAAAGTCGCTGAAGGAAGAAAGGACCCGTCATAACGATCTAGCAGTGATTTCCAACTGGTGTGCTGTGAAACTTTTTAAAGACCATTAATTAATTTTCAAAAGAAGTTCAAACCACAATGAGTATAATTTTTTCCTCTTTTTTTTTTTTTAATCAGCATAATTTAAGTGTACCATGGAAGTTTGACTATAGGTTCAAGTGTGCCATGGTGAGATAAGAAGGTTGAAAAACAGTGGTCTAGAGCAAATGTTGACACACTTTGTCAAAAAATGCCGAGACGGTAAAGTTTCAGGCTTTGTGACCTGTGTGGTCTCTGTTACAACCGCTCAACCCTGCCCTTGTAGCTGGAATGCAACAGATAATCTCTAAACACTTGCATGTGGCAGTGTTCCAATAAAACTTTATTTGCAGTGGGCCAAAGATTGCATACCCCCGATTGGGAGAATTTCCAAAACTGTGATACCATTAGCTTAAGGCCACTTGACATGAGAACCGTTTACTTTTAGTTTTAGAAACGTACAGTTATATTTTGTTGACTAAGTGTTGGCATTTTAGAGGTGAGGAAACGGTCAACCAGAGAGTTGAATTCACTATTTCAAGAGCACAGGAGGAGAGGGCAGGAAACCAATCACAAGACCTTTCCTCACCCTGAGTCTTAAAGCATTTCCCTCTACCCTCCCTTTTCTCTGCTTTGTTCAGTCACATCCTTGGGATCTTCACAATAACACAGCTGTGAGTGGGGGCACACTCTGCACGTTACTGAATTGGGAAGTCTGCACTGGCACCGTCTTCTCACACACAACCTGCGTGGCTACCAGGGCAAAGCATGTAAATAAATGCAACTGCAGCCTTGGAGAGAAGCAGCCCCTTTACTGCCGGCCGGCTGCGTGAGGAGCTGCCAGCAGAGCCAGAGGGAACTTGGGGCTTTCAGAAAGACAGATTTCAGGTCTCATCACTTAACCTCTGTGCTTGAGGCCACGGACGGGAGAGTAAGACGCACAAAGCTCTGCTACAATGGCCTGACTCGGAGCCTACGCTGGATACAGTGACAAGTCAAATCACTTTTTACCCGTGGAGAAACGCCGCCTTTTGAAATCTCATGGGAAAAGGCCACGTCAGCCTGTCCCGGGAGAAAGTACAGCACTCTGTGTGAGGCTGGCTGCTGTGGGTTTCCAGACAACGCTGTGTGTTAGGGACAGAAGCCCGTCCCTGTGTGTAAAAGAACAAATAACTCACATGCAAGGGCCATAAAGACAGCAACTGTTATAAAGAATCACACACACGCACACACACAGAGGGACAAGGCCTATTTCAAGAAAAGGAACCCTGACCACTTTTTCATTTTCACCACTGATGTCCGTAGCTCCAACTTCCCACTGCAGAATATCCTAGGACTACTTCTAAGGTCGGTAACTGCTATCAAGTGCTATTACATTCTAAGGGAAATGATGCAAGTACGTTATGAGTGCTCCAACTGAGAGAAGGTTCATTCTCATGGCATTTAAGCCTTTTTTAGTTTCTTTGACTTAGCAGCTGGGACAATGTTCCTTCTCCCTTAAAAAAGAATTCCCTCTGCAGCGTGTGGACGCACCAGAACTCCTAAGCTTTTGCAAAGATGCTGAAGCTACAACTGTAGACAGATTTCCAGCTATTGGACAGTTTCAAGACAGGCACACAACGAAGCCTTGCCCATTGGCAATGGCACAGCCCAAGCGGCTGAAGGGAAGTGAATATAGTTACTAAAATGTTATATTTTAGGTCAAACTGGATTTTAAATTTTCATTACAATCCCGTAAAAATATGTTATTTTGCGATGTCAAACTGATGTTGACAATTTCAGATGACACAACCCATGTTTCCCGGGTTTTGACAGCACACAAAAGAACGGACTTGGATGTTGCCTTGAATGATCCACAAAATCGGGGCTGTTCACTGCCCACCACCCAACCTGAACCACGGATGTGGTCTCCATAGCCAGAAGCACACACGTCGTTTCCCGAACTCGGCAAACTTCCGAGTACTACCTTGTAAGGCGGAGTCACTGATGAGCAATGCATTTGCAATACCAAGCCTGCGATATATGTACTTTTGGTCCCTTTAAGGAGTCTGAGCGATATCAAGAAAAGGCTAAACACCAGTTTACTGAAAAAAGAGGCCCAGTGCAACATGGAGCTTACTGGTATTTTTCTACTTGCACAACCCTCACTCCAAACGGATCGCTCCCCAGTCTGGGCTCGGAGTGGGTCGGACACCAGTGATTCTCTCCTTCTGACAAGTGCACAGTAACGTAAGGCTTGTCTGACGTGAGACAAACATGCCCAAGTCCAGTCCAATGTTACCTCGACCCACAGAGGAGGGAGACCAGGAATATTTAGCAATAGGGAAGCTCCTTTCATGATCTCACCTCATTTCTCTCATGAAACCATTAACATATTTAAAGCATAATTCACCATGTATTAGATGAGCTTTGCACCCTCCCGCAGGAACCCCGTGGATGTTGAGTTGAAGCAGACCCAGACGGCAGGCATCGGCAGGACTCCACCCTGACCCGGCTACACCTGCAATCTGTCTGTTGAATTTTACTTTTATTCACAGAGGTATTCATTGTAGGTGGAAATAATTCTCTTCCTCTCTCCCTTGACCCAGCCTGACATTATCAAGGTTGGCTATCTACCCAACCCAAATACCTGAGATAACTGCTTACTCTTTGCAGACTACTACCTTGGAGACAGTAGCTGTTTCTTCAAGCAATTTTAAACCACCAGAAGGCTGGCGCATTGCAGTTCTGGGGCACAAGTAAGGTGGGCCTGCATTGAATGAAATGCCTCTTTTTTCCAACATTGCAGTCATCATCACAACATTGTTCCATGTTCCTCTTACAAATACTCCCCGGATTCGTAGTTCCACAGATCTCCTCTGAGGACCATCTCAAACTTGCACTCTTATAGCCAAAAGTGCACAGAATTCACAGCAGATTCTATGATGTGTCTATGAAGTCCCTTTATAAAACTATGAGAGTTTAATGGCTCTGCTTCGTGGTGGAGACGCTTCCTCCAAGGTTTGCCTAAAGAAGGCTCTGCCACTAATAAGATGGGCCATGTCTCCCCCCACCTAGCTCCCCCTCCCCGATCTCTCCACCTCACCAAACATGGAAAAGAGCCTCGCTGGGAAAACTGTCTTTAACAACTTTATTGACATAGAATTTTCATACCATGAGATTCACTCCTCTTTCCTGTACTCACCACTGATTTTTGCTATTTACTGAGTTGTAAAACCATCACTGTCATCTGTTTTTAGGAGTCTATCACCCCAGTAAGATCTTTCATGACTTACAGGGAAAATTTAAATTTTAAACAGGGCAGTCCCTATGACTCAAAGGAGTAGGGCACCAGCCCCATATACAGGAGGTGACAGGTTCAGACCCAGCCCTGGCCAAAAACTGCAAACAAATAAATTAAATACATAAATTTTAAATGTATTTTTCAGCCTTTAGCGTCTCATCATCACTGCCATTATCACCAAGCAAGGTTAGTAAGTAAAACACCCCCCGTATACCAGAGGTGGTGGGTTCAAACCCGACTCCAGTCAAAAACTGCAACAACCACCAGTAAGTAAAACACCCTAGTACGGCAGGGTGGGCACTGATGACTCACAGTAAGAAAAATAAAGACGGGAATATAGACGGTGTGGGTGACTGTTTGCCCATTTGCTCGTTTACTAGCTTAGTAGGGAGCCAAGGAAGGTTTTGCTGAGAAAGACACGTTTGTGCCGAGTGGGAGGAGGAGGCAGCCTTGCCACCACACGAAGGAGGAACATTCCCAGTCTCGGAGGAGGAAGGTGAAGTGTCTGAGACAAGAGAGTTCAGGGTTCAGGGAATAGCTGGGGGCTGGGGCTGGAACAGGAAGGCAGAGAGGGCAGGGGCCCCAAGGCTGAGAGAGAGGAGGAGGGGGTCTTCCAGGCCTCCAGCGCAGTGTGAAGACCAGGCTTCCACTGTGAGTCCCATGAGGGCGCTGTTAGGGTGCAGTGAGGAATAGCTGGAAGGCAGTGGCTTGGATCTCGGGGGGATCACTCTGATGGCCGAGTTGTGGGTACACTGCAGGGGCCGGCATGCAGAAGCAAGGATGCCGTCTCTCCTTGAGGACGCTCATATTTCTAGAAAGGGTGTCATCATTCCTAAACCACTGACTGCCATGCTTTCTGTAAGGCTTTGCTGAGGGGTAGACGCATGTACGGAGCTGAAGGAGGCTTATCCTTCTGCCTGGGCTGCAGTGGAGAATCACGGGTAATCAAAGAAGCTAAAGACACAAAATTGACTCCATTTCTGCCTTTAAGCTTTCTCAGTGGGGCATGAAGGGTGTGACAGACTTGTTCTCAAACCTGGTGATGGCTGCACAACTCAGCAAATACTCAAAATGGTTGGGCTGTGCGGTGAAGATGAGAGAGGATACGGTATCAAAATTCTATTTCAGGAAGTTGTTAAACGCACTGGGGGAAGACGTGGCCCACCTCGTTACGGATTGACTCCCCTTTAGACATGTCCTGCAGGAACAGTCTCCACCGAGTAGCTGACCCTCTCCCATCACGCCGCGCTGCCCCTTCACTGCCAACATCGTATAACCTGCTACAAGTTCAGGGCAGACATCTTTGCTGTGAGGCTGCAGGAACTGACGCTTGGGAGCCCCTCAAAATGACAGGTATGGAAGTATGAATCTGGGGACTATTGATGAAAGCATGAGATACAACAATGTTTAAATGATGGCTGCAACCTCTCAAACAATGGTGCATTTTTTACTCAAAAAAAGCCCATTTAAATTCAGAGGGTACATTTGTCATGCTAAATTATGAAGTTGCTCAGATATGCTAGGAAGTGTCCACACAGCACAGCCTTCCTGTTCTCAGTTAGTTAGCACCTTCATGACCCACCCTGGGGACTGTCAAGGGACCCCTGCACAGACCCGAAACATCTCAAGATAGCAGCACTCTGGAAGGAATCATGGGAGCAAAGCCACCTGCCCCTCCTCCACCAGGCAGGACAAGCTGCAGCCCTTACAGGTAATTAATTCAACATCTGCCTCTAGGTGGGAACCACTTCTGTCTGCTGTCCAAATTGGCACTCTTGTTCAGAGAGCGCTAGCTCGGGACCTGCAGGCATCCGAACAGATGGTAACGTGTCTGTGACCGCCACATGCCTAGATCGCATTTGAACCATTCAACTCAAGGCAAAGAGTCCTCAAGCCCTTCCTTGATCACCTCCCCCAGCCCACTGTTAATTATTGATTTCACTTGCCTCTCTGAAGAGTCAGACCAGCTGGACACAGACTCTTAAGACAAGGTTAGCTGCCTTGATTTATAATTTCACTTCAAATCTTCCTCTGTTAGGGTATTTGCCTAAAAAAAGAAAGCAACTTTTCCTTTTTTTAAAAAAAAAAATGACTTTCTGAAAGAAAACTAAAAATCTGCAAAAATCCAAATATGAAGTTATTTTGATTGCAAGTTTTCCATTTGACATGATTATACCGATAAAGAAGGAGCAATACTCCACAGTGGGAGACGGCTTGAGTGTTCCAGAAATGCATTTCCACCATGGGACAGAAATGGCAATTGATAGCAGCCAATTTAAACCTTCTCGTAGGAAGACACATGACTGGTGTTATCAGTCTTACAGTACTTATCAACCTCACAGTGCATCTTCTTTAAAATAAATTTAGAAGAGCTTCCATGTAAGAAGATAAGTCCTGGTTAGTAAATGGGCAACGTGACTAATCTATATTTATGAGACCAGATCTTGACGGTTAGCCAAGCAGATACATAATTAATCTGGAAAGTGCACAGCCATATGGACACAACTGGAGAAATAATCCTAAAACATCATTAATATCAGCTCAGAGTACGTCCTTCAACTGTCACAGACTAACCACAAATACGGTATAGTATTCATCTGATTTCATACAGGTTTTTAGCCTTGAAAAAGGAACGGAAAAAATGATGGCATTCAATTCTTATCAAACGACTCAGGAGGGGTTTAAATTCTGGATGTTATGAAGCAAAGTCAGAGGTAAATTCAAACTCACTTTAATCATTATTTTAGGAAAGGCTGTGCCATCTAGCATAGCTAAAATTCAGTCTTTCTCTTTGAAGATTAATTGAATGGTGCTTGCTGCAGAGTTCTCTTAACAAAAACTCAAGGAAGATGATAAGGAACCCCCCTAACTCAAAGTTTTTTTTTTTAAAGTTTGTTTCTTTAGTGACATGTTGAAAGTGAAAGCCCAGTGATGCCTTTCACCATTGATTTACGAGGCCCTATCAAACACTCCTGGTCCCACTGTCTACACAGAGAAGCCACCTGCTTGCTGGCCACACATGTGAATGAGGTGATTAGGAATCAGCATTGCGTGTGTGCCCAGGAGCAAGGTACCTGTGTCCTGTGGAAGGAAGACTGACCTTTGGAAGAGCGGAAGTGTTTGCTGGGGGCCGTGAAGCCACGGGTTCCGTGCACGTTCACAGCAGCCACTCGGAACTGGTACCACCTGCTGGGCCGTATGTCCATCAGCTGAACCCGTTCGTCTGTGGTCTGAGGGAAAAGTCACAGAGCTATTTTATTCTGACATGTTGCTTGGATCTGTTTTTAAAAATACGCTAACTTTCCAGCCAATGCAAGTCAGCCTGTGTTTCCTCTGGACAGAAGGCTTGTCATGCCCGGTTATGAAGAGGGTAGTCAGGGACTAAGAAACCCTGATATTTCACCCCAAATAATTAAACATCTGTGGAAATCAAAATCTTGTGACAGCCGGCCATGGGGGCTCACACCTGTAATTGCAGCACTTTATGAGGCTGGGGCCAGGAGTTTGACACCAGTCTGAACAACAGCAAGAGTCTATCTCTACACAATATAAAAAAATATATATATATCTGGGTGTGGGGGGAGGCACCTGTACTCCCAGCTACTCAGGGAAAGGCACCTATAATCCCAGCTACTCGGGAGACTGAGATAGGAGGACAGCTTAAGCCCAGAAGTTTGAGATTACAAGGAGCTGTGATGATGCAAAAGCTTTGTAGCCAAGGGGACAGAATGAGACACTCTGTCTCAATAAAATAAAATAAAACAAAAAGTCTTGTGATGAATTCTTGGGCTATTTTAAAATCTGGTGACTAGATACAGCTTTGGAGGGATTTCACCAATAAGGAATATATATGTGTAGTAATCATCACATTATTGAGAAGAAGATGACATCACCTTGAGATTCTAGACAGAAAACGCCCCTGTCAGTGGCACAGCAAATAGAATTCTGGAAGTTAGGAGAACAGCAGCACACACTAACACTAACTTAAAGAACACTAATGACGCCTGGAGGTAAACTGTAACCCCGAGGCACTTTAAACAAAATTGAGTAACCACATGACGTCTGTGAGGAACCAGTCCAGATTTTATAGAGGGAGATGAGTTAGTGTATCTTTGCCCAATAAAATGCCCCCCCCAAAAAGGATGCCTGGACGATAGGCAGGTTTTGCCGCCACTGCGGCCACCATCCCAAGGTACCGAATGCTTTTTATAGCGTTCAGACTACAGACCTGCTTTCCATAATATTCTAGGTTTTGTCCCCAGCTGCAGATCTGAAAACCTTTGTCTTTAATTCCAGGGAATGAACGGCTGCAGCCCATGACTTCATCTACGCCTGGTGCCAAACTCAGCTAAACAGTGCAGAGGAGACTGGGCTGAAACAGGTTCAAACCCTCCCAAACGTCTCCCTTCTGTAACTTATAGGAAAGGGCTGTGACATTTAAAGCCATGTACAAACGGAGCTAAGCATTTCCGAGATGAAAGGGAGACTTTGAACTTGTGAACTTGGCGCTCTATCTGACTTGGCAGAATTTGAGACCACACTTTCAACCGACTTCAATATTTAGAGTTTTAGCTGGAAATTTAAAAAGCTTAAGGTCAGCATGACGTCCACGGGTTTAGCAGACCAAAGGACAGAGTAATCTGTGTGGCACTAACTGGCAAAAATAATAACTACAACAGCAATAATTCAGGGGGTTTCCTCCTTCCAAACCAGAAGGGACAAGAGAGATGACCTGTCAGTCACTTTCACAAACCTTTAAATAATTTGGAAAACCTACAAGGGAATCTACCCCACCCTTCCTTATGGGAGTATACAATAGACATCAAATGGAATTTGTGGCTGTTTCCTGAGTAACTTTATTTCACTAAAACAAATTCTTTTTTATAAAGTACGTATAAAATATTAATACAACTACTGACCTTATTTGGCCAATTATCTTTCTCTAATTGAATGTGTTTCCTTTACATTAAATTTCTTATTTATTTGGGGGAGTCTTTGGGTGTTTATCCCCTTTGAGACACCACTGTTGATTGTTCTTCCAAAACACCTAAATACTAAAATTTATTTTATATTTACTAAAAAAAAAAAAAAATGAGAATGTAACCCTTGGAGGAAAATGATCAGATCAATCCAGGGTGAGAATTTTCCCCTATAAACATAAATGTGGAGAAGGCTTTTTAGTTGTTCAAAAGCATGAAGCTATTTCACACTGAGAATTTATTGGTTTTTATTTCCATGTTTTTTTGGAGGGGGTCTCTCTCTCTCTCTCTCTCTCTGCAGCTGGTAGTCCACTTAACAGCTCTTAAAAAGAAAGAAAATATTTTGCTTTTCTCATCAGCAAGACAGAGGAGGAGGAAGTGGTGCTGAGATAAAGTTGGGAGAGCTGCCATCCAGGTGGGGTACCAGTTCTTAAGTTGACGGAGACGGCAGGAAAGCACTTAGCACTTAGATTTATGGGCTGTTGGCGGCTTCCCACCAAGTGGTTCTGAGATAGGAATCTTACTCCACGCTACTAAAGTCCTTGGGTGGGATAAAGGCTTACAGGCAGGAGAAACAGAAGAGACCTCATTTAGATTATTAAATATCAAATTAACCAGTCCCAGCGGTGCGGAGTTTCCCTTACTCTGCCTGGTTATGGAGTTTGCCAATACCAGGGGCTGAGGGCAGTGTGGCTTTGGGAGGAAATAAATGTCAGCAATCAGATTATAAAATTATGACTTTTCCATGTGTTTTTTGAGGAAATCAAGGCAGCAGTCAGGTTTCTGGTGTGTTGCTTCCTATCTGCAGTCCTCATTCTCTTCCCGCAGGCAAGCAAGAGACTAACTCCACGTTTGATTAAATTCTACTGTGGTCAAGCTATGCTGAGCCACAGCACATTAATTCTATGTGTGTAGGTAGGTGTGTCGTTGCTACCTCAAGGGGGAAAAGGGAATGTCGGAAGCACTTACCTGGGCCACAGTCTGCCAGGGGGTGGCGTCGTCCTCGCTGGGGTGGATTCCATAATTCCATCTTCTCTGCACCACGTAGATCACGGGCTCGATGGAAATATTGAACTTGGAGGACCATTTAATCTCCAGCTGTCCAGACTGCAGTTCTGTGAACCGTAACTCTTTTCTGGGCTTCAGGGGGACACCTGAAAACAAAACCATGGCGATGAAAACCATCTGCCTGTGCCTGGGATGGAGGTAAAATCAGGAAACAAAATCTACAGAGGTAACTCTCATCTGCTGATAAGTCATGTCCTGCTTCCTTCCATAAAAGTGACCTCCCTGTGCCGGGCTTCACATCTGGAGTCTCGGACACTCAAGAGTTTAGCTATCAGCCCTTTGCTTTTAGTTTACCTGTATTTTTGGTTTGGGGAGTTTTCTGGAAAGAAGGTCTATATTGATACCTAATTCTGAAGAAGTGGTCGTCTCTCTCGTGACCTCTCTTTCATGGCCATGAATAAACCAAGTTACCAGGCTGCTCCACTTGAGGTCACCATGGACCTCACACTAGCTGACAGTTATGAAGGGTTTCAGGTCCTTTCCGCCATCTTGAACATTCTCTGCCTCTGTGGCATATTCTAAGGTCATTACAACACGGCTTCGAGGTGACGTTCTTTCTCCCGCAGTGAGTTTTCCATTTAAGGAAGAAATTGCAAAGCTAAATCTTGTCATGTGGTGAAACTTCCCAAGAGCCGTTTCCAAAGCATGAGTCTTTCGGATTCCTCCGTGCATTGCTTGGGTGCTGCCCTAGACATTTCAGGGTGGAAAACTGGAAAATGATGGATTTGTCATATTTGGCTTTGGCACGAGTGAGTTGTTTCAAAAGTTCCTCACAGGTGTCTCATTTTAAAGTCATTAATCATTGTGACTTCTCATAAGTTGTCTGGTGACTGAAGGATTTAAGAACCACAATTCAAAGGAGTAGCCATTATAGAAAGGAGATTTTAAAACAGATTTATTATACTAATAAGATATATAAAACGAACTGATTAAGTAGAATCTATGAGGCTGTAATATTGAACATCATCAATACAAACCATGCATTACCATTAATATCAATTTCTGTGGAGAATGGGCATTTGCCTAGAGCAGTGGTTCTCAACCTTCCTAATGCCGGGACCCTTTAATACAGTTCCTCATGTTGTGGTGACCCCCAACCATAAAATTATTTTTGTTGCCACTTCATAATTAATTTTTCCTACCACAGAAGCTTGTTTAAAAATGGAACCTCATAGAGCAGCGGTTCTCAACCTGTGGGTCGCAACCCCTTTGGGGGTCAAACAACCCTTTCACAGGGGTCGCCTAAATACATCCTGCATATCAGATATTTACATTATGATTCGTAACAGTAGCAAAATTACAGTTATGAAGTAGGAACAAAAATAATTTTATGGTTGGGGGTCACCACAACATGAGGAATTGTATTAAAGGGTCGTAGCATTAAGAAGTTTGAGAACCAGTGGCTTAGAGCATTGCCAAGTCATTTGAAAAGCCAGTTCAGATTGCTCCATTTCTTAAGTTTAAACAGAGAAGAAACTGAAAAAAATGTACAGACACAAAATGTAAATAAGATTTCATGCACACTGGTGATTCAGGCGACTTTCAACTCATTTCATTTTGACCTGAATTCATGCCAAGCCTTATTTAGGAAAATTTTAAAGTTCTCAAATATTTAAGTGGATGGAGTGGATAATTTAAAAAAACATATTTACCTGTGGTCAAAAATTAATTGATATTTTAGGAAAACATTTTCTAGAAGTCCATTTACCATACCTACTGCATTCTGCCTTTTGATTGGCTGGTGAGTTGTGCATTCTGCCTTTTGATTGGCTGGTGAGTTATGGCTATATCTTATCCTTGAGTTTACCTTAAATTTATCTCACCTGATTCTTACTGGGACTTTGTGAAGTGGGTGAAGGGTTAGTCATCCACATTTTCAACTGAGTCTAAGGAAGACTGAGTAAGCTGCCCAGAGCTGTGAGTTGATCTTTACTTTCTCTCTGAATTCTCTGCCTCTGTCTACTTTTAAATTCGGAAAAGCCATTTCGAATGGCAGAGAGAAGAGGTGGTTTCAGATAGATGTGCAGAGAAACCCTTGGACATTCCTCTCCTGACGTCAACCTTCCTGGCTGGCTTCGTACTTTGCTGACTCAGTTATTTGCCCTTGTTTTGCCATGAAATGCATCTC